TATATATATATATATATATATATATATATATATATATATATATATATATATATATATATATATATATATATTGATAGGCCAATGGGCCCGTGTGATATAAATTCAGCCCAACACCACCGAAAAGTCCAAAGGAGGTCTGATGGGTGGAGCAATCCATCGCTTGGGCGGCCCAACATATTCGAGTGGCCTGGCCCACGAGAAACGGTTGATGCGTCTTTGGCCCATCTCGGTTATGCCCAACGAAATAGCCTTCGGGTGCGTTTGGGAATAGCGTTAGAGATTAGCGTTAGTGTTTTGGATAAAATTTTAACGGTTCAGATTACTTTGAAAAAGCTAACGCTAAACGCTGCCCGTAGATAGCTTTTACAAAACGCTAACGCTAATAGCTAAGGCTATTCCCAAACAGGCCCTTCTTCCTTTCTCGCGATTGACTGTGTCTGATCGCTGATTGAGCGGGATGGAATGGTTGAACGTTGATGGCGGATGAAGATCAGGGCTTAATGAAACCTACCACGCTTAGTACTTCCCATGTATAATTTGAATATTGGACCTATATAAATAAGGACGAAAGGATATTGTAGTACTTAAGCTCAATACGACTAATACACTCTTGGAAATTGACACATTGTCAACCTCTCTGCTTTTCTTATTATCTTTAATTTTGTATACTCAGTAATTCAGTTCATCCTCTCGGGTCGGATCTTTCAGTGGAGTTTATTTCCATCATATGTAATTATGATCTATGTAAAGGAAAGAGAAAATAATGAACCACACAATCATTTCCTTAAAAATAAGTTGGAAGAAAATTTTAGGTCAATCCAAAAAGAAAAGTGAAAATATAATTATGAGACATATGAAGTACTCTTTCGGTCCTATAATAAAATGTTTTTTTCGGTTTATGATGTTTGAATGAAATTCTTTTCATTTCAATTTATATTAGATTTGTGGTGAATTAAAAAATACAATTTACATATCTAAATGCTATACCAAAAGCCCTTCAAAACAAGTGGTGACCTAATTATATTTTTTTTCAAATGACGAACGAAAAATGAAAATAAAAGTAAATGAAGTTTGACTCTATAAAAAGTAAACATGTAATTTACATTAGAACAAAGGGAGTATAATGTAATCTTAATGTTCTCTTTGCCTTAAAATTTAGAGCCTCAAGATGTTAGCGGATATTCATTATATTGTAAATGGGCTAGACACATGCACTACTACAAAAAAAAAGCAAAAAGAATTCCTCAATTACATTGGCTATTGAGAGAACCGATGCAAAAAGTCTAAAAGCATCAGCCATATATTTTTTTTAATTTGAAAAATAAAAATAGGTATCAACATCAATTATTTGGAACAATCAAAAATTGCATCGCTTGCATTGGCCTCGACATTAAACCAATGCATAAAGTACAAAAAAAAAAAATCAATGCTAAAACCGATTTTTGTAGTAGTGATGGTTGCTATTTGGGGTGTAAAGTTTCGTTATGGCTAGGGCATTAGCCCATGTTAATGTGGTGTCATGTGTCCCGGCAGACGGCGCGGGGCAGTAGCCTATGTAAATGTAATGCTAAAACTTTGGTTAAAATTTTGCTGTGTTGGGGGATAATAGCCCATCTGAATGTAATGCCAATTGTAACCCACTTAACAACCATTTGTGGGTTTTTTTTTAGGGAGGATTATCAATGTAATAGCTCCCTTATTTAGGGGACTAACCAATAAATAATTATGCACTATGGGCCAATTTGGGAAACATCTTTGTTATTCTCTGTGTTCTAAAATTATCTTCATGGTTATTATTTACTCCCTCCGCCCCATATAAAAAATTTCCTGTTTCAAAAAAAGCGCACCCTTAAAATGGGTAATTTTGGTGTTATTTTCTAATTTTGCCCTTACTTTATAAAAGAGTAGGATGAGATGTGTAGAATAGATTAGTCATAATTAAAAAATAACACTAAAATTACTCATTTTAAAGGCGTGCCATTTTTGAAACAGGAAATGTTTTATGGGACGGAGGGAGTAGTATTTACAGGACATTTTTTTTGAAAAAAAATAATTTCTGTTTTCATTAATCATTTGATAAATTAATATAACCATGTCACATCTTGTTTTGTAGTTGTATAATTAAATTTTATTTTTTAACTTTACACTTATAATCATATAAAACATAAAAATAAAAAGTGGTTGAATGAGATTTAGGCCATGTTGTGGGGAGTTTGGGTTTGGCTTGTGCAGGTTGAAGGTGATTTGGCTTGGCTTGTTGTCACTGACGTGCCTGGCTTGATCCTTGCTTGCATGCCTCAACCATTTTCGACTTGGCTTTGATTTGGGATTTTTAGCTTCTGATCTTGCTCTGGGTGCCTTCATGTTTTTGGCTTGTATGCCTTGGGATTGGGATTCTAGCCTGCTTCTAGCTAGGCTACTGCATTGGCTTTTGATTCTAGTCTACGTGGATTGGTTTTTTATGTTGACCCGCACGGGTAGCCCAAGTGGCAAGCACTTGGTGAAGTTTGGAGAATGACCAAGGATCGAAACCTGGCAGCGACCGTTGTGGGGGCGACCACCTCTGAAAAATGGGGGGAGTCTCTGGTGCGCACTAGGATATGGTCTAGCTAAGTGTTGTGCTTGGGTCACCGTGATTTACCTCCTCTCACAATCCCGTCGGGTCGGGGGTGAGGGGCGCCCGGGGTGAGCGATTTCACCTTTTGGAGAATGTTGACCCGCAATCCTGATTTATGACTTTGACCTCTATTTTATGTTCTGTTGTGATTTGCTGTTGGGTGTGGTTGTGTCACCTCTGTGCACTTTGGCAATGCATGCTTTGGTTCTCACTTTTGAGCCCTATTTTGCTTTGGACATTGTGTTATGGGTTTTTATTTTAGCCTAGGAATCTTGTCTTTTGTTTCTGGCCTGTGAGCCAGGTCTTTGATTTATGTATTCCTATGGGTTTACCCTCTAGCTTGGGTGCCAGTTTTGGTTTGGGGTGGGTACTTCAACCTCTGTGAACATTTGTTTACTCGGGTGTGCCCGTTTTATATTTGTAATCTTTGTCATTGGATTTCAATAGTATTTATATGTCACCCAAAAAAATAAATAAAGAATACCATCTTGATGCTATTTTGCAAAACCACACTTCAAAATTTTGGGATAAATGATATCATGGGAGAATGACCCAAGAACCACAACAACAAAAATCATTATAATCATGTAAGTATGCAACTATCGCGTGTATGGATGCATTGATATATCATAAGAACTCTATAAATCTATTTTCAAGAAAATGTAGAAATGGGAAATCCTTCCTTTCACTCATGGGAGGCCCGGAGGGTGTGCAAAGTGGTCAAACGCACAGGACATCTTAAAATTTAGGGCACCATATTTTTAAATTTGTTAATAAGTTTAAAACAAAGCTATTCTAAAAATATAAAATAGGACACAATGTAAATTTTGAACCGGGCTAATTTTATTTTTTTCATTTTTCGAGGTCGGCCCTGCTTTCACTCTCAATGTTTATTATGGGGAGGAACACTTTGTTCATTCCTAAAGAAATTGTGAGGGTCAACCTTGGTCTTTATCCTCACCAACTTGTCAAAATTCTTCTTGAAATATTTTACCCCCCAAAACTTGGCATCTTCATAGCTTGATGATGAATAGTCCATATTGCCATAGTTTGGCCCAATGTCAAGATCCCTGTAATTCATGGAAGCTTCTCTCGGAGACATGGAAACAAATGGAGTGAAATACCCATAAACCCTTCTTACCCAACTCATGTGAATCCCTAATGCCTCTCTCCCATCTTCACTCCAATCCGCCCAATACTCGATGCTGTACAGATTCCCGGCTCTGTGCGGGAATGGAATCGACGATTCTTGGATCTCCCCCATTCTCCCTCCGTATGGGTTCATCGAGATCACGCCGGAGTTGTTCTCCCGGAGGAAATTCCACCCGCCTTCCAGCCCCCTTCTGGGTATTGGGTCCTTCACGAAATCGGACTTTGATTTGAAGCTGTATGGCTTTCGTCCGCCATTAATGGCGGCTGGATTGAGCAGAGCTTGAATCGGCGTGCCCCCCGGGAACCCGTTGAGGTAAAGGAGAGATCTTGCCCAGCTTGTCTCTACCAGGTCTTCTCCGGTTAATCGCAGTTCCGGGAACATCTCGTCCATGATCGGGAGTAGTTCGTGCGGTGGTCCGAGGAAGAGGGAGAGGAAATCTGTTGAGACCGTTCTGTCTTCTCCGCCGCGAGCCGTCACTCTGATGAAGATCTCCTCCGGTAACGTCGGGGCGAGTCTCTGCCACTTGTGGACCAGATCTGTGGCGTTTTGGTCCAGATTTCGTGAGACGTTGAAGACGGTGACGATTGCCGGCACGTCGACAAGCCGGAGCTTCCACCCGAGGACGACGCCGAACGTGTTCCCTCCGCCGCCTCGGATTGCCCAGAACAGATCCTTCCCCATCGTTTTCCGGGTCAGAATCCTCCCGGCGGCGTCCACCAGACGCGCGTCGATCACGTTGTCCGCCGCAAGGCCGTACTTTCTCGACATTGGGCCGTGTCCGCCTCCGCTTATATGCCCGCCGACTCCGACGGAGGGACACACCCCCGCCGGGAAACCAAGTACTCCGGTCTTCTCCCAAATCCGATAGTACAGTTCGCCCAGAGTCGACCCCCCACCGACCCACGCCGTCTTCTCCGACGGATCCACCGTGACATTCCGGAAATTAACCAGATCAAGAATCAAGAACTGGCTCCCGAAAAAGCTCGTGGAAGAAAGCCCTTCGTAATCATGGCCCCCGCCCCGGACCCGGACCTGCAAGTCCTGGTCTTTCGCGCAAAGAATTACTGCCCGGACCTCGGATTCTTCCCGCGGCGTCACGACGATCAGCGGTCTGGGAGTGTCGGAGGTGTTGAACCGGCTGTTCTGGATGCGTGACCGGAGGATCGGCAAGAACAGAGAGCTGTCTGAGGTGAAAATGGTGTCGGAAACAGAGGTTTGGTTGTCCAGTTTATGAATCATGCATGGCTGGAAACCTGAGATATCTGCTAGAGATGGGCAGGAGATGATGAAGACGATGAAGAAGAAGACCCAAACTGCGTCGTTTGGGTTCTTCATTTTTGTTTTTGATTAAGGGGATGTCTCAGGTGCATATTAGTAGTTTAATGCGAACTCCTGTGGGAATTTATGTCACAGTTTAATTTGCTTAATGATCGGTTTCGATTCAATGAAATTATAAGAATTGTAAGATTTTATTGTTTGTTTTAGGGAATATAATAAGTGAATGATGTATTAAAATGTGCAATGTGTTACGGAGTACATTTGTGATTTGTGATACACTTTTCTTAAGTTTAAATATAAAATGTGAATTGTTTAATACTTCCTCTGTTCCAAAAAAATTTATACCTTTCAAAAAAATTGTATTTCATAATCTCCTACTCATTTACTTTTTATTTTTTCAAACCCTACCTATCACATCATACTTTTTTTCTAATAATCTACACATCACATCTTACTTTTACTCATCGCATCAAGGATATTTTTGGAAAGTCAATACAAAATTATCTCTCCATTAATTTCAACTTTAATTAAAACATGTAAATGTTTTTAGGACGGAAATAATATTTTTTATGAGCTGACAGATAATTTTTAGTTCAAATTCTAATTCCTATATGATACGGAGTATCACTATACTAAAACGTCGAAAATGAACAATTACTTTATAACCACTTAAGGTTTTGCTGATGTGATAATGGGTAGATGTGTAGTAGGGAGCATGGAATTGGTGTTTTTACTTTTTATGTGTTTATAAATTAATTAAAATTACATACTCCATCCGTTTTATAAAAGTGTTCCTATTTTGATTTTGTGTAAAAATAAGGAAGTGTTAAATTATAGTTGACTTCTAATTTTGCCCCTTGATGCGATGCGTAAAAGTAAGATGTGATGGATTGAGTATTAAAGAAAAAGTATGATGTGATAGGTAGGGTATAAAAAAGTATGGGTAAAAGTGTTTTTTTAATAGAAAATGGAAGTGTTTTGTTAGAAGTAAAAAAAAATGAAAGATGAAGAATTTTTTAAAACGGAGGAGTATGATTTTTAAGTTGTTTACAATTTAAAGAATACGGAGTATGTAGTAGATCTTATAAATTTATTTTAACACGTATTTTGTTTCTCCGTTTTGACTAAATTATTTACAAATTATCCCTTGCTTTTTATAAATATCCTCGAAGGCTGGAATGACTTAATTTTCGTTTAAGTCATTTTTACTTCATCAAAAGAATATACTTCGTCCGTCTGAAAAGATTCTTCCCCGTCACTATTCACACGGTTAAATTTAAATTATTTTCTTTACTTATTTTCGTTTATGTCACCTCTTGTTTTGTTGAATTTTTGATGTAGTTTTTTTATATATAAATTTTATTCTTAAATTTACACATACAATTAAATAAATTGAATTAAAAATAAATTCGGTCAAACCTCGTAAACAGAAATCGGAAGAAAATTTTAAGACGGGGGGGGGGGGAGGTATANCAACTTATAAATTAAGAATTCTTAATCAGTATTAAGCTAACATGCCCTTGTTTAGAAAAAATACCCTCTTAGTATCATGTAAATCACCCTATTGATGGAGATATGGGCTCAGCCCCCTAGGGCTATGGATTTGGGCTGGACCTGAATCATAGAACTACGTCTTAGAAAGGACGCGCTCGGCCCAAAGTGCTCCCACAACTGAAGATAAGATGAACAATGGCGCTATACCTATACGTCACGCTCGGCTCCCCTTTGCACCCTCGACGTACAGTTTCGATCTAAGAGGTCAACTCATGGGGAGTACCGCGAGCTCATCGATCAGTGGTCAAAGACATCATAAAAGGTGACATATCCTAGACGTGGTCAACAAGATAAGCATCATTTTGAAGTGATGTTAAAAAGTGATATGTCATAAGAATGAGACAAACATAATTAATGAGGCCTGTGTGCCTCAATGACCTAGGTTAGTTGGATTCTGGCCCACGACCATATTGTATGAATACACCCCTTGTCCGATCAAGGGAGATCAGATTCTGAGTTCACTAACACGTATTAGAGCTGGACACGGTCATGATATGGAACATCGGAACCGGTACCGGCGGTTCCGCCACCGGGACCGGCAATGGAGACGGGAAGACAGTGCTAGGGACAGGTAACGGAACCGGCCGACACAGTACCGCGTCCGGTTCTTGTTTTTCGTGACCGGAACCGGCAGTAAGCCAGTAACGTTCCCGATTCCGATAATTTTTGAATTTTTTGATGAAGAAGGTCGCATACCACATTACTACAAATAGTTTGGAATACAAATATACAATACCAAATTACTACATGGTAGTAGTTTTATTTTGAGGTTAAAAACTTATTTTAGCACTTTCTTTATGTTTTATAACTTTTACTCTTATAGATTGTTCTCTAGGACTGGAAAAAGCTGAATGTTAGAAAAAATTAAAATAAAGTGGAAGAATTAGAATAAACTGAAAGTTACTAGAAAACTTGAAAAAGACTGAAAAACAGAAAGAAACTAAAAAATGCAAAAATCTAGAAAAAACTTTAAGAATTTATTTAACTATATTTTACGTAGTATTCTTATTATAATTGTCAATGTTGTTGTTATTATTACTATTATTAATATTACAATACTCATAATAGGTAAGGAAAATTGATAAAATTGGAGCACGTGAATATTGTACATGTCATTTAATTAAGGACAATGAGAGAAGTAAAATCATTATTTTTTAATTTAAAATATTGATATTTTTCCAATCTCAATTTAGATTAATAAAATATCTATAATTTTTGGGACATAGTTTAATGCTATATGTAAATAAAATACGCAATTTTCCAAGTAAAATTGTACTCTGTATTGTTTATAATAAAAATAGAAATCACCCTAAATAGAACTAAAACATAGAAAAAGTGCCAAAATAGAAGTTCCATATTTATATTCCCGAAATAGAAGTTCGCAATGTGGTAATGTGGTACTGTACATGTGCACCTTACTATACTTTTTGGTAATCTACATGACCATGTTTAGTAATGTAAATGCATTTTAACCCCTATTTTGGAAATAAAAATATAGAGGTACTATTTTGGTATATTTTCAATGTTTTAATCTTACTTTAATTTTTTTCCCTAATAAAAATAGAAGAAAAACAATAATGAGTGTAAATCACAAAAACTGAAATGGAAAAAATAAAATAGAAAAACTGAAATAGTTTATAAACTATAGTTATAACAATAATAAAAATAATACATGAAAAAACATATTTAGAGTCAATTTTTTGGATTATAAAAGTTGAAGAAATTAGAAATCGTTGGGAAAATTAGAAGAAATTAGAAAAAATTGGAAGGATCTGAAAGAAACTGGAAGGAATTGGAAGAAAGTGGAAAAATTAGAATGAAAACTTCCAAATTGGTTGGATTACTCTGAACATCTTCAATAAAAAACATAGAAATTGGAAGAAATTGTAAAAAAACCAAAAGAAACTGTAAAGTTAAGACTTAAAAGTTCTAAAAATACTCTCTTGGTAGGGTCAATTTCTTGAGAAAAAATTGTCAAAATAGTCCTTTTTAAGAGAGTCATTTTCTTATGCTATGGAGTGCCTTTTCTCTTTTTCTCCTTTGCTAACCGCGTGTGTTTCAGCTTTCCTTTATCTTTCTAAGAAAATGTCTTTCCCTTTTCCTTTCAATTTTTAATATTATTTATTAACACTTATTTCAATTTAAAAGCTTAAACTAAAAACACAAAAAAAATAAAAATAAAAATTTTCAATTTTTAATATTATTTTTATAATACTTAATTAAATTAAAATAAATTAAAATAATTAAACTAAAAATATAAAATACAATTAAATACTACAAACTTACAAAAACTCAAAAGAAAAAAGAAATCCAAAAGTTAAAAATTCAAAATTAAAAAACTGAAAAACAACCAACAACTAAAAAAGGGAAAAGAAGAAACAAAAAAAGACAATGAAATTTTTTCCCCATATTTTTTTTCATAAGGACTAATGGTGGACTCGTTCAAAATATAAATAATCAATTAAAAAATACTCTATTCGTCACAATACATGATTTTACGTATGACTTGATAGGAAGATTAAGAAAAATTAAATTGTATGGTAAATGACGTAAAGGAAATGAATTATAAAACCAACTTTTTTTAAATAAAAAGTGAAAAAAAAAGTGAAACCCTTTGTTAGGACAAATAAAAAAATACTCAGTATGAAATTTTTAATGAGACGAGGGAGTATTTTAATATAGAGAATTATACTCCTTACCAAAATAATTACTCTGTATTTATCAAAATTTTAATTTTTACGTCAAAGTGTATTATACATCGAAAATAGATTAGAAAAAAAGATTGTGAAATTTGCACTAAATAGGACTAAAATATAATGACTTTCCTAATTTAGGACTTAAACTTTTTTATTCCCTAAATAGGACTTATTAATGTCTTAGTGGGAAAAATAATGTCCAGTAATGATGAACATTTACTTGAATAATGACTAATTCATAATGACCAAAAGTCCTACATTGGAAAATAAAAACATATGGTCTTATATTGAGAAAGTCATTTTGTTTTAGTCCTATTTAAGTAAATTACAAATTTAATATAATTAATTAGTTTTTAAATACAGTTTTGATATCTAAATTGTATAATATTAATTATTTAAAAATATATTTAATTTATGATGAAAATGTTGGAGATTTTTTTGGAAGATGAGTATTGAGCCAAATCCACAAACGGGTAGCCCGGCCTGCTTGCATACCTAATTACCTATTCACCATCCACCAAGTAAGGAAGTTCCCTTTTTTCTGTTTTGAAAAAGTCGGTCCCCAAAGAACATTCCAGAACTCGCTAGGAGTTTCCCTCTCCAGTATTCCCTATATATACACACGCAAAGCCATTCCCCAATCGTACACAAACGAAATTCTTTTGATCTCTCAGATCTCGTTCTACTCCGCTCTCGATCATTCTCTACCTGTTCTCTCTGTGAAATACTTGTAATCCCGAGTGACAATGGCCGGAAAAGGTGAAGGACCCGCCATCGGAATCGATCTCGGCACTACGTATTCGTGCGTCGGTGTCTGGCAGCACGATCGAGTTGAGATCATCGCCAACGACCAGGGAAACCGGACCACGCCGTCGTATGTGGCGTTCACTGACTCTGAGCGGCTTATTGGCGATGCCGCGAAGAACCAGGTCGCTATGAACCCCATCAACACCGTTTTCGGTTAGTCTTCTCCCTAGATCTCGTCCTTTTTTCTGCGTTCAGGTCGTTTTGATGGTGATTTGTTCGTAGTTTTGATTCGGTTATATCCTGATGTACTGGAATGCTTTGAAAATTGTCATTGTCTTTGATTCGTTTGGATCTGTTAATCTGATCTGTTCAATTGATTCGCTGTTAAATTGATTTGTTGTACTCATCTAAACTGAATAGGTTATGCATCATAACCGATGATCATTATAAACCCCAATTTTTAAAGTTGAAGTTAAAACTTGAGATTTAACTGATGAGCACTAGTAAGATTATATAATTAGATCCGAAAATCCAACTGAATAAGTTTTGCATCGTTAGTGATGATCATTACAAGCACCGATTTTAAGATTTGAAGTTGAGCTAGAGATTTAACTGATGACCACTAGTATGATACAGTAAGATTATATAACTAGATCCGAAACTTGCTTTATTTAGAATGTAGAATGTTCTATTTTATAATTTTTAATCCTTGCCAATAGTAATGCGTGGTTGTTATTCAAATCTGCTTTTTTGTTTAATATAATTGGACAATTAATTTAATTACGGGTTGTTGAAGGTTTATGTCTGCGCTCGGTATTTGTTAGACGGACATTAAGTTAGCCACCAACGCATTATGTGCTCTATGTGGATGGAGTCTGGAATATGGTCCTTGTTTTATTTTGGTTGCTAATTGAAGCGTTAACAAGCTCTGATTTGTGTTTTTCTATGGCTTTGCAGATGCAAAACGTCTTATTGGTAGGAGAATCTCTGATGCATCTGTCCAGGCTGACATGAAGCTGTGGCCTTTCAAGGTCATTCCTGGCCCCGGAGACAAGCCAATGATTGTTGTCAACTACAAGGGCGAAGAGAAGCAATTTTCAGCTGAAGAAATTTCGTCTATGGTTCTCACCAAGATGAAGGAGATTGCTGAGGCCTACCTTGGGTCGACAGTGAAGAATGCTGTTGTCACTGTCCCTGCGTACTTCAATGACTCTCAACGTCAAGCAACTAAAGACGCTGGTGTCATCTCTGGGTTAAACGTCATGCGCATTATCAACGAGCCAACAGCTGCTGCTATTGCTTACGGTCTTGACAAGAAAGCGACCAGCGTTGGCGAGAAGAACGTTTTGATCTTTGATCTTGGCGGTGGTACCTTTGATGTCTCCCTTCTCACAATTGAAGAAGGTATCTTTGAGGTGAAAGCCACTGCCGGAGACACCCACCTTGGAGGCGAAGATTTTGACAACAGAATGGTCAACCACTTTGTCCAAGAATTCAAGAGAAAGAACAAGAAAGACATCACCGGAAACCCAAGAGCTCTGAGGAGACTGAGGACTGCTTGCGAAAGGGCAAAGAGAACCCTCTCTTCCACTGCCCAAACCACAATTGAGATTGATTCATTGTTTGAGGGTATTGACTTCTACTCCACCATTACCCGTGCTAGGTTCGAAGAGCTGAACATGGATCTGTTCAGAAAGTGTATGGAACCAGTTGAGAAGTGTCTGAGGGATGCCAAGATGGACAAGAGCACTGTCCACGATGTGGTTCTTGTCGGAGGATCCACTAGAATCCCCAAGGTTCAACAGTTGCTTCAGGATTTCTTCAATGGAAAGGAACTCTGCAAGAGCATCAACCCAGACGAAGCCGTTGCTTACGGCGCAGCTGTCCAGGCTGCAATCTTGAGCGGCGAGGGCAACGAGAAGGTCCAAGATTTACTCCTTCTGGACGTCACCCCATTGTCTCTTGGTCTGGAAACTGCAGGAGGAGTCATGACAGTCTTGATCCCCAGGAACACAACCATCCCCACGAAGAAGGAACAAGTTTTCTCCACCTACTCTGACAACCAGCCCGGCGTCCTGATCCAGGTGTACGAAGGCGAGCGGACAAGAACCCGCGACAACAACCTGCTGGGCAAATTCGAGCTCTCCGGCATCCCTCCCGCCCCAAGGGGTGTCCCACAAATCACCGTTTGCTTCGACATCGACGCAAACGGCATCCTGAACGTCTCTGCCGAGGACAAGACCACCGGGCAGAAGAACAAGATCACAATCACCAACGACAAGGGCCGTCTGTCCAAGGACGAGATTGAGAAGATGGTCCAGGAGGCAGAGAAGTACAAGGCGGAGGACGAGGAGCACAAGAAGAAGGTGGAGGCCAAGAATGCCCTGGAGAACTACGCCTACAACATGAGGAACACGGTCAAGGACGAGAAGATTGGCTCCAAGCTCAGCTCTGACGACAAGAAGAAGATTGAGGATGCCATTGATGGAGCCATCTCCTGGCTGGACAGCAACCAGCTCGCCGAAGCTGATGAGTTCGAAGACAAGATGAAGGAGCTGGAGGGCATCTGCAATCCCATCATCGCCAAGATGTATCAGGGCGGTGTTGCTCCGGACATGGATGAGGACGCTGTTCCCCCGGCAGCTGGCGGCGCTGGCCCAAAGATCGAGGAGGTGGACTAAATTTGTGTTATGATGTTTTGTTACTCTGAGTCTATTATGTTTTTATCCCTTTTGTGTTTTTTTTCTCTTGTTTTGATTCTGGTGCCCATTTTTAAATGTTTTTGGTTAGACAATCACCCGTGTCTATGGCATTGTAGTGCTTCTTTATCAAAACTTATCACTTTTTTCTTATAAGCTTTTCCTGTCCATTTAAGTCTCATCTTTGAATGCCTACACTCGGTTTCATAAGCCACAGACTTTTCTTATGGGTCTTACATGGTCTAATGTCTAAGACCAACCTGGGATCTTACTATATTGTTCAGAAAAAAAATGTTTCTACACAAAAACAAAATGATAAATTATCAAAATATATATATAAAGCCTCTTAGAATATTTAAATTTTTAATTACTTTTTAGATATATTGAACAATATTATGAATAATTTTAAAATTTGAATATGTAAGAGTACTTTTACCAAGTCAAATTTCATTTAATTAAGTATAAAAAAAGGTATTTAAATGGAATATGAGTTTGACAAACATGAAAGGTCAATGTTACTATTGTTATTACTACATATTTTGCATTAAAGATAGAAATTAGACACCTGAAAAAGTATGTATCAAAATCATATGGATTTCAAAATATTGAAAAGTACGTATATCAAAATTTATTTTTTATTCCTAATGAAATGTGTAATACAAGTTTTACCTTCAAAACATGTAATGACTTTTTCAATTCTTCAAAAACATGTCATGACTTTTTCCATTCTTCAATTAGAAGAAAGTCCTATTTTCTTTATTTTATTCAGCCTATTATCTTCTTTTTCCATTCTTCAATGGAGTATTAAATCTACAACAAAACTTATAATTCTACTACTCTAGAATAAAGTTTCTCATTCTTTATGTACCATTAAAAACGAATATATGACTTGCAATATCTCTCGTTTTCTAATAAACTTTAATTACACCTTTTGATTTTCAATTCTTTTTCTAAAACGAAAAATACAAAAGACAGGTAGTTTGGAAACCTTTATCTAAAACGAAAGAGTTAAGAGTGCCTCCATTAATTTGAGTGTCAAAATCACTTCCTTAAAAATAATTTTTAAAACGTGAAACAAGTCAATGAGCGTTTGGCATGAAGTGCCAAACTCGGTGGACCCAATTTCGAATCCTAGCAACTGCGCTGGGAGCGAACTATGCTAAGCGTAGAGCAAGTATCAGAGACAAACTCCATCCCTTGTCACTAATCTACAATTAAAGACCAGTTTACTCCTCTATGGGGCTCATCCTTTTTTTAAGTGTGAATTAATATGGAAAGATGTAGAGTTTCCTTGGCTTACTGAAATGTTATTCCATATAAGATCTTGTAATTCACCTTAAAAATTCAAATGAATATAGTGTCGTGTCAACCCTTCAAGATATGCTGTCTTGGATTTTAGTCCAAAAAAATTTTCATTACATGCTACCGTTTTCTTTTACCCAAATTGTGATTGTGATTGAGAAAACATGTCATTTTATTCAAGTTTTTTCAAAATCTGGGTTCTCATAATCTCATGTAGAGTAATATTTTTTCAAGGAGAAAAGTTTTATTAATTAAAACAATCGTAAACCAAAGAGTTGTTCTAAGGAGCACAAATAAAATATAGTGAAAGAAATGGGATCAATCCCAACTCTAAAAACTAAAGACATTGCATTAAGCCTGAGGAGAAGAGAATGGAGAGACAAAAACAAACCAGCAAACCAAGAGGAAATGCAATGTACCATAGCTAGAACCAATGTACAACCACAAAGCAACAGTGAACAACTTCAAAGCACGATATTTAACGGGTACGTTTGAGGCGATCCAAAACTGCAGGGATATGTAAAGAATTTTTTCCCCCTTTTCAAGAACTATGGCTTCTTCTTGGTAGTGCCACACAAAAAAACAGTTTCAAATCATGAGCAGAGAAAACACAGATGGGCTAGAATGATGAGCGAAATTAGGCCGATTGAATTTCCATCTTGGGAGTGTTATCTTCAACTTTGTTCAAGTTTGGAATGTATCTCCAGCAGCGTTTGTTGACCCCACTAATTTTCTTGGGTGCTTCCGCAATTGGAGTACCTGCGCGTATCCACGGAGAGTAATAAAAATGACAGAACGATGTTGAAAAGTGAAAAGTGAATGGTTAGAATATGCGAAGCATTTTGGACAACATATCATTTTCCGAATAGAGAAGCTAAAAAATTATTTTGTGGCAAATGAAAAGGGATTAAGGGAACATGTTAAAACTTTTGTGGGACGGAGGGCATATTAAAGAGAGAAAAAACATAGACGGCAAATCTAAACACCAACCATCTCGATGAGCAATGCCCCAAGCCTTTCCATGCTTTCCACTCTGCAATATAGACACATAAACCCCCTTAGACATTAGACAAATTAAAAATAACCCTAGACCTCAAAATCATAAAAGAACATCAAAGTGTACCTTGTACAGATTGATCTTGGTAATTTGGTAGGAAACATCAGCCCAATGGGTTTTGGCCATGTGATAGCCAATGCCCCAGTTGGGGAGAAACTGCACAACCTCAAAGAGATTCTTCTTCTTATTCTTCTTATTCTTCTTTGGGGTTGGCTTACTGGCATCTGCTGCAGCCGAAGGACTAGGAGAAGTACTGAAATATCTAAAGGAGCTGAACGGGAGTCTGAACAAGGCAGAAGCACGATCTCCCAATGCTCCTCCCCTACTTGCTAATAATGCACTCGCCATTTTCCAATTACCCAAATGCAAAATCAGATGTGCTCAGTTAAGAGACTTTTTTTGAAGCACTGCAATGCCTATAAAGCAGACAAATGAACACTCTTCATTTTCGTACAATATGTGATGAACACGGAAAAAAAGTTTAGATATTTATATTTATTATCGAATGAAATGTTATTACAGATTGCTTATCGATGATAATTCAAAAACAGACTTCACATAATAAATCAATGTAACAGAGCATAACAAGTATGGTGTTTGAAAAGTCTTGCTTCCAATTTTCATGAGTTGATCCGGAAAGAAAACGTCTCAAATTTTTTAGCATACAAGGCATTAAAGTGTTGACCTGAAAAATACTTCAATGAACATAATTTGATCGAAACACAAAATTTGGTAGACAACAATGAACTTATACAAAAAAATGTCAGGTCTCAAGTCTGAAATAAACCTATCTAGTTGGCTATGCTAATGTTCCAATCCAAACCTCTGGTAGCTTATTCGGATATGGATATAAGTCGTTTCTTTAATTTATTTTCTTTTTCAATTACTGGCTTACACTGTGTGCACCCATTTTTAACAAGAATGGCAATTTAAACTTGAAACATTGAGCATAAAAACAATATGAGTACAATAGCCACAAAAATGTATACCATACAGAGAAGATGGTAAAAACCAACCAACACTTACAGGATTGAAAGAAATAGTCGATGGATAAAAGGAAGCAACCAAAATCCAGATCATTTTACGCAAATAAATTGAATAAAAATGAATTCATCTCAAAATTTGAAGAAGACGATGGATCAGTTAACGTGAAGAAATTCAATACGAAATTTGAAGCATACTTGAGGGATTGCTGCGGTGCTGTCCTGCTGAACAAAGCCAGAGTCGGACGGTCGGAGAAGACGACCTGCGATCTAAGGCGGAAAAACAGGAGAGGAAATTCGAGATTGATGTCCGCCACCTGCCGGAGTCGGACTGCTGCGACGGTGAGACCTTGCGTCTGAAAGTCTGGTTTCGGAGAGTCTGAATCTGAAGAAGAGATGACGGCGATAAAACCTTACATTTGGGGATTGGGGTCTTTCTTTTTCATTTTCTTTTTTAGTGAAAACATTTGGATGTTACTCGAGTTTATTGCACAAATAACTCTTTCTTTTGTTAAATGTGCACCGTTAGTTTTAAAACTTACTCATATATTGTTATCTATATGGTTTTGATTTTTTTACCCCAATGTCCTTCTACACTAAAATACCTTCCAAATATAATGAATAGTGCTGCTGCTCGCTATAGTTTTAGAAATGGGCACCAACACACCCTCTCTTTTTTTCTTTATTATTTTTATTTTTTCTTCTATATTTTTCATCAATATTTTTGAAGATCTTTTTTAAAACTATATGATCTTTTCTTCTAGAGTTTTGAAAAACAATATGATTATTATTTCAAACATAATCATTTTTCTTCTCTTTAAAAAAAGATAATAAAGAAAAAAAGAGGGGGCGTTGCCGCGTTGGTGCACATTTTCAAAATCATTAGGGGCAACAGAGCTATTCATTAGAGGTGACTACTTTAACGATCACATTGAAAGTATATTACTCCGTAGATTTTATCTAAAGTTTAAGAATTAATTTTTAATGACCAAGTGATGATTGTTAAGTTGGTCTTGGGTGGCTGCGCTATCAACTTTGTTAGTGCTTAAGCCCCACATATTGACTTAGATGAGGAAGTAATTAAGAGAAAGATTTTGGAAATACTAGATGGAGTGATAAGAGCAGATAATCTCTTCATTAGAGGTGACTTTGACAATTACATTGAGGGTTCGACAGATGGTTTTGAAGGGGTACATGGAGGGTTTGGCTTTGGGAGTAGAAATTCTGAAGGGGTTTCTTTGTTGGGATTTGCTAGTGCGAGTGGGTTAGTAGTGATCGCCAACTTTTACTTCTCAAAGCGTGAGGACCACAAGGTTACTTTTGCTAACATAGTGAGGAGGATGCAAATTGATTACTTCCTTCTACATAAATGTGATCAGGTTCTCCCTAAGGATGCTAAAGTAATCTAGAGTGAGAATCTTACTACTCAACATAAGTTACTATTATGGATGTTTTGATTAGGTGGGTGAAGAAGATATAGACGACCGGGGTCCATCGCACATCCATTGGAGGAAGCTTGGGTGAAGAGAAGATTCAAGGGTTAGTTACTTGGGTTTGAGAGAAATGAGCATGTGAGTCTACTAGGGAGGCCAATGACGTGGGATAGGACTACAAATTGTATGTAAGAGGATGCACGAGAAATGCTTGGAGAGAAAAATGGTATTAGAACTCAACATAAAGGTGACTGGTGGCGGAGTGAAGTGCTTCATAGAAAAGTGGAAGCTAAGAAGGTATCTTATCAAAGGTTTGCAAAAATGTAGTGACAATGTGGCTAGGGTGTCCTTGCGAAAAGAGTATAAAGCTGCCCGTAAGGAAGCTACGTTTGAGGTAACAAGGACGAAAAATGTAGTCTTTGAATGCATGTATAAAGGCTTAGAGGAGCAGGGTAGGGATTAGGCCTTTTCAACTTGCAAGGGTGTGGGAGAAGAAAGTTCAAGATTCGGGGTGGGTGTAGTGTGAAGGATTACGATAAGTTTTATTTGAAGTAGCAAAAGTGTCCAGCTCATGGAGGGAGTACTTCAATGGCCTTCTTAATGCAGGAGGAGATACAATGCTAGAGCCTAGAACAATTAGAGAAACATCATGAATTTGGATACTGTTAACGTATCAGCCAAAGAGAGGTGGTGAAGGCCATTCGTGGGATGAGAGGTTGGAGAGCCTTATGGCAAATAAAATTCCAGTGCATTTTAAATGTAAGTAGTAGTGATTTGACTTGATTTACTAAACTCTTTAATTTTATCTTTAGAGCCACCAAGATGCCTCATGAACAGAGGAAAATTGTGTTGATTCCATTATATAAGGAGAAATGTGATTTCTAAAGTTACGATAATCATAAAGGCATCAAATTTTGGCTTCCTGCCTGGCCGATCGACTATGGAAGCTATTCATCTCTTGAGGAAGTTGATGGAAGAGTCTAGAGCTTAGAAGAAGGATCTTTATTTATTTTGATTGATCTTGAGAAGGCGTATGATAGGATCTCGAGGGAGATCTTGTGGAGATGCATTGAGTATATAGGGGATCCGTTTGCATATATTTATGCAATCAAAGATATGTACGTCGGGGTGAAGACTAGGGTGAAGACCATTAGGTGATTATGATCATTTTTGTGAAAACGTGGGGTTACACAAGGGGTCAACCCTTAGTCCCTTTTTGTTTTCTGCAATGTTTTTCATCCGAGGCAGATTTGATCGGCACAACTATATTATTAAAATTAGATATAAAGAAACTATGTAACTAAACTAAAACATATTTTTGTTTTTACAATTGTTTTCTACGAGTTTTCCATTTTTGAAAATGAGTTTTAATTTTTTGATTTCAAGTTTTCATTTTTTTAAATGATCAATTACATTCGCGTTTCTAATATTTAAAAACACTTTGTTTAAGTCATTATACTATTTTAGAATTTTTAAACCACAATTTCACAAAATAATCTCTGTAAAAATTCAACAAAATAATCCAATATTTTAAAACCAAATTTTCTGCGATAAATTGCTTTACTTACTCTTATAGTCGTATAAACCTATTCCCAAGCCAATTCAATTTTCGACAATAAATAATAAAATAACACATTACACATAAAATAATTTTTACATCAAAAGGGTAAAAACTCTATTTAAAAAAATAAAGAAATACCTAATAACTTGGTTAAAAAAATTAAAAGAAGTTAGAAGACATAACAATCTCGATCTGCAGCTCTACTTTGTGATCTATGGAGGGTGGCATGGCACGAAAATTGGAGTTCGGAAAAAAAATAGTTTACGGAGTGTCCTTTTACGATGTAACATTTAGTGATTAATATTTTAAAGGAAGGGGCGTGGGGGCTAGGTGGTAGTTCAGGGGTAAGATTTTAGACAAGGCGTGCAACTCTAGAGGGGGGGTGAATAGAGTTGTTTGAGAATGTTTACCGATTTTCGCAGGATTTATAATATAAACGTAAGTGCAGCGGAAATAAAATAGAGAAGGCAAAGAACACACCGATGTATACTGGTTCACCACCTCGTGGCTAGTCCAGTTCCCCGAGAGACTCTCTCGAAGCTACCACGACTTCCGTTAAGCTTACGGGTGCTTAACAAACCGTTTACAACTCGAGAACTTGAATCCCACAAGCCTCGACACAACCGCTCGTAGATATGCCCTCTACAAGACTTCACACCCAAGACTTAAGTCACATAAGCCTTGAACAACAAGAAGAACAATCTTCTTCAACCTCACAACAATGACTCTCACAAGAGTAGAAATGAGAAAAGATTAAGCTCTATGGATGACAAGAACAGTCTCTTGAAAACACTTAGTTTTCTCTCAAAATATATCAATTTGAGGAAGAAATGAATGGAGGATTATAACCTCAAGATTGGGGGATTTTAGGATTGCTTATTGTTAAGAAAAATGACCAAGGAGTGAAGTTTATAAAGGGGTTGAAGGAATATATCCGTTGGTCCAAGAAAAGAAGCTGTGCAGAAAAGATGCAGCATAATAATCGATTAATGCATCACCAATAATCGATTAATGCATCATCAGCAACGATCAATGCAGCTGAAGGAAAATCGATTAAATTAAAGGGATTAATCGATTAGAAGGCTCTGTATGAACTAATCGATTAAAAGGAAGGAAAAAATCGATTAACCTCAAGACCTGAGAAATCCAACGCTGAACAAGAATAACTAATCGATTAACCACTTATGGTTTAATCGATTAAGTGAAAGTGAAACTAGATCTAATCGATTAATGTAGAAATGTTAATCGATTAATAAAGAAATAATGCGCAAACACAAAGGGCCCAAGCCAGTTGCGATTGAGAGCAGAATTGGCTTAACACACGTTGTTTGAGACAACGGGAATCAGAGAGCGCTCCTCCTCTCTTATTCAATGAATTTGAATAATGGAGTAAAATGTGAGTCCAAAAAATATTTTGTGTGTCAAACGATGTACACGAAAAATATTTGAATAAAATATTTTTGCTTACAAAAAATATTTTTATAATATCAAAATAAATATTTGATAAATGTTTGACACACTTTTTGTAACTGACTCAATAAATGTATTTTGCACAGTTAAAAAGATTTTTCAACTGACTCCAAAAATAAATATCATTTTTATTTTAACTCTCATAAAAAATAATTTTGGAGAGAAGATATTTTTGTCATCCTTACAATAATTCCTACGACTCAAAAAAAAGTCTTCGGAAATCTTCTACTCCTCCGAGTCCTCCGTTAGGCGCTCCGAACGCGTCTCGGACTTCAATAAAATTCTGTGCACCTTTTTGAATACTTCAAGGAATGGCACTTCAAGTCTTCGTGTTTGTCGTTGTATCACTTCGATCTTGACTTGAATAAATTGTGTTTGTCAATTATCAAAACCTGTGAGTCAACACTTAACAACACAGAAAAGGTTGAACTCATGCATTCCAACATAAGAGTCATCAATTTTACAAATGAAATACCGTAGGTATTCTAATTAAATTTTTTATTTGTGTATTGTTATTAATTATTTAATAAAATAAAATATTATAGACATCTCTTGTTTTGTAAAATTTTTGATGTAGTTTTTTAATATGTAAATTTTATTTTATTTATATATGTCTCAATCTTTAAACAAAATAAATTTAAAAAATTTGAGATTTTTGTTGTTTTAGCATAATTTTGAAATTTGCAATTGTTATTTTTCAGTCTATCCTAATTCTCAAATAAATTGAATTAAAAAAAATTTTGGTCAAACATTATAAATCAAAATGGACAATTTAAATTAAGACGGGGAGTAAAAGTTACATAGTACGGAGTATTATATAAGTACTAGTAGATTGTAAAACACATTTGACCAAACAAGAGTTTAAAAGCAGTTTCAAACACATCCACCAACACCTCTTATTATTATTGTTTATCATTCTACAATTGACCTTTGTTTGATAAATGCAATGCTTGTCAATGGTTGGCCTGTTTGTATGCATAGAGGTGATGAAAAACAGTGCAAATGACAAAGGCATATTCTATTATAGAATCTATAACGAACATGGATTTTGTGATAGATTTTTACCGGTACAAATCACATTGCAAGTTCGTCATACAATTTTTTATAATTTATGCCGAGCAAACCTTACCCCTACTCAAAACATATGAGAAAAACAATAAAAGAAAGTAACACGAGCAAAATAATAAGAATGCTAACAAAACAAACACACGAGCAAAAACTACAAACTTAGGCACAAAATCACACAAGCAAAAGTTACAAACTCCAAGACACTATCCTAAACTTTAAAACCTCCATATTTAAAATCATATCTTCAATAAGATCTTGAAGTCTTTATCATGTCAAATCACCTCATTCTAACTTTTCTTTGATACATCTTTATTCCCTCCTCCTAACTTTTCTCCTCAATACGAATTCAAATCATCTTAATCTAATGTCCTTATCCTGCATAGAAACCACACACACCCTCCAGTATAAATAGTATAAATCCCCGCATATTGTTATTTTAAATTAATTTGAATATGATTATTTTCATTACATTTAATACACCAATATGAATCGTGCACGCTTTCTCAAGAATACCATGCTACAATGCAAAGATGAGTAAATAACACCATTAGTATCTCGGCGATGATAATTTCTGACTAACAATTATAATCCGTGCAAAAACTAATATGGTGCCATCTTTGATATCAAACATGGTGTTATATGGCATTATTGTTCCCAAGAACCCACAAGACAATCTCACACATTGCAATACTTTCTATAAAATAGTGTAATGATGTAGTGTGTGCCAAAAGAAACAAGTGTTTCAAAAGAGGACTTCAATCCATTTCGTCAAATCAACTCGTTTCAAAGCCCAACCACGCCAACTTCCCAATGAGGAAAAAGATATTGAAAAACAAAAAAAGAAGGAAAAAGAGGACTTTGTTATAAGAAGAGACCTGAATGCTTTATATATGAAAACCAATAAAAACAGACTTCAGTTGGGTGTATCCGTAGGAGTCTATGAGATGTCAATTGCCCTCATTTCCCAAATGTCAAAAGGGTATTCTTGTCACGCAGGCGTGCGAAATAAGTAGTCAAACAAACCTTTGGTAGTAGCATCAAGGAAAAGGCAGTCCGATTCATTCATCTTCCCAGTAATGCGACTCGATCCTTCTGCACAGCAAGTGCCAAGTTGATGTCAAAGAGCTCACACCGAATCGGCATCTCCATTTCATAGAAAGGATTCTTCAAGACATAATCGGTGTACAATTCATATATATGTTTCAAGAGAGGCTCCATGTGCACTGTTCCAGGCTCACACACCACGAAAAACTTTGTCCCTGCAGCCAAAACATAATGACATCCATTCTGCACTATTTATTAATTGCCAGCCCTTTGTCATTATGTTTCACCATCCCCACTTTAATCCAAAATGGGAGTGGGTGGCATGATAATATAGTGTCAATATTTAAAATAATATAAAAAGGTTAATCATGGAAGTGAAGCAACTAGGGGCACTATTGTAAAAAATGGTGTGAAATTTAGCATTTCCCCACTTGTGAGACCTTCCTGGGTAAGTTTTTTTGTAAAATTTAGCAAGTGAATCTTGAAAAGAACTGTTCCATAATGATTAGCCTACAACCAATGCCCAATATACTGCAGAGATGAATCTTCTGTCATGATTAATTTTTTACACTATTGGGGTGTTGGGCAAGGACCTTTTCTGAAGGCCAAGTATTAGAAGTGATTGGTAGAGCTTTGGTCCCAAAAAAGACGGTTTATATTCGTGTTAAAGACAAACAGCTTTTCAAGGTTTTTGGAATAACTAGCTACTCAAACTGCTAATGTCTCAACATGGCATGTGGCTAATTATATATGGAGTATCTACTTCATTTTAAATGATTCCTAAATTCTTTATAAGATACTAATAGCTCATCAGCATTCAGCAAGCAAGCTTAGTGTATATTTGGCATTAGCATTAGAGTTTAGCTCTAGCAATTAGGAAATGGTGTCCAAAGGTAGCTTTTAGCTTTAGCATTAGTCTATACTATTAAAAAAGTATCTATAACTAGAACGCTAATTACAAGCATTGTAAGAGTTTAGCTCTAGCAATTTGAAAATGTTGTCCAAGGAAGCATTTAGCTTTAGCATCCGTAAACGTTAATCTTCACCAATAAAAAATGATGTGACGCTAATTACAAACGTTGTTCCCTATCGGACTCTGTGCAGGTTCGCACTTCGATGAAAAATAAAATGAGTCATTTTGAGTCATCAGATTAATTTACTGGCAGTGCCGAATTCTAGATCCAGTTTATAGGCAAGTCTCTGATTAACAAGCCAAAAAAGAAGGCTAGTACGATGTAATATTTCCTAAAGTTTTTGGAAAAAATTATAAACAGTGCCACCATACAAACTGATGAAGCTCAAACTAGACTATTCGTTTTCTACCACTTTGCCAAAATTGCACATTCATAAGGCGTACCAGCTTGTACATAACCATGTCATATATGTACCATGACCGCGGTAGACTGTAATGCTGTGTATGAAAACTTTGGTAGCAAAAAGGTCGATTATTTGCATACAAAAAAGAAAAGATATTCCCCACCCACACACACAGTCATTTTTTTCTTGAAGAACTGTATCATTCATACAATAACTAATTATTCTTATTCAATGGAAAAGCAAGCATGAAATCCATGAATTAAATGAGAGTTATGTAATGGGGAAAAACTTCATACAATTTCTCTTTTTGACCAGTTATATATTAATAATCCCCCCACCCCTCCCCCCAACCCACACCAAAATTTAATTTCTAACTCCATCATTGACTATCAAGTATCTTTATTGAAGTTGAAGAATTTGGTGCTTTTATCTAAGCAACCATAAAGACAATAATTGTCAGTGTACATGAATCAGCCCTTCTCACTTCTCAGTGAGATAGTCCCATCCAGCACCTTTTTCTAGATAGATTATGCACATTCCTTTCAGTTAGATATCAAGAAAACACAAATCAAAGTTTATTGTGGGTAGTTCTAAAATTAATAAATAATTACATGTTCATATACTTATATCTAGATTTACAGCGTTTCATTTCAATGTGGGAAATTTCCTTTAGATTTTGAGTATTTCTTGGAATTGGCCGTTGATATGCAGGTTTCTTGAAATAACCCTCAAGTAGTCTAGAATATATTGGAAAAATTCCTGATGAAACCCTTATGTTGAGAGGCATGCATATGGAGGTGCATTTTTGGAAATAACACAACCTGAAATTCCCCTTTTAAAATTGTTGGAATTCCTGAAGCATAAAGACTTTACACCATTCCCTTTGAGAATTCAGTTGAGAGAAGAATGGCAAAGGAAATACCAGTAAGAGATTGGAAGCAGTGAAGATCAAAGGTATCTGCTTGAAGGAGTTCAATGCCCGAGCAACCATTGACAGGAGAAAGTTGCTGAGAAATGGCATGCATCGAATGCCAAAGACTTGCCAACCTCAAACTATCATTGGTGTCCATTCTTCCAGCTGAACCATAATCCTAACATTTTAACATCAATGATTAAATTTTCCTGCCATGTTATATTTTAATCAAAGCTCCAAGCCAAATGAAGAGCATCTTTGTAAGGGTACTGACTGACCTTATAGAAAATAAGGCCTCCTGATTTGTTGATAATATAGAGGCTGTAAACTGCTGCCATTTCCACTGAAAATTGAAAACATGCTTCTCAGAGCTTGTGTTCAGCAAAGCACTGATGCTAGGGATGACTTCAAATTCCAAATATTTGTAGATGCGGGTAGAGCCGTAGAGGCAACTCTCTTTTTTTCTCCACTTTTCATTTTTCATTCTTCATCTTTAAGAAACGACCATCTTTCTCTATTTCTAAAGCTAATTCACTTACACTATGTTTGGTTCGAGGAATTTGAAATGAAAATGAGAGAAAACATTTTTTTTGTTTGGTTAGAGAGGAAGAGAAAAGTTGAAGGAAAAGAAAATACGAAGACACAATGTAATAAGAGGAGGAAAAACAAAATTCCTCCCATTTTTGTGAAGAAAATGAGAGAAAACCATTTTCTTTTCCTTCCAAATCCCTTGAACCAAACATATTGTTACAATAATGTAAAAATGCATTAAGCTAGGGACACCCCAAGTGTGACGGGTAAGGTTGATTACTAATTGAAGATAATATAACTAATGATACTTTTGGGATCTCTTTGTAAGATTAACTTTTCTTTTCTCAGGAATTGGGATTAATCCCTATACATACTCTTCAAAGGTATGTCCACTGCTAATGGAGTTAAATGAGTTATTTTTGAAAATTTCAATGACGAAGTTATGGTATCACTCTTGATTCTCCATCCCCTATCATGGAACGTTTCATATACATTTTTCACAATATATTACTAATAAAAGAACTGAATACTTGTATTTAAGATCAGTAAAATATAACCTCAATTATGTTCTATATATGGATAATATAATTGAAACAAAACATGATCATGGTTTAAGGTTTAAAGAAAGTTTGACAAGGTTGGATAATAAAGAGTAGAAAAAAAGAAATACTCGAGGATGAACGACGAATTGATCGTAAAAATGGATGCCCAAGTGAAGCTTGAGAAATCAAAAGATACTCAATTGCTACCTTTAATGTAGTGAGAACTAATAAAAAAACATTGTAAAAGAAATTAGAGTGTGAGCTTGAATCCAAATGCAAGAATGTGAAATTAGGCAAAGCGGCCCATTATTACTCAAGGAAGCTCACTATTCAGTCACTACTAGACTTGATCATGCCCCCGAGTCCCGACCTGACCTGTAAAGGCATGCACAAAAAAAGTGAGGGAACAAGCCTTTTATTTACCGACTCGGCCCATATGTTATTGGAAAAAGAAAAAAGATAAGCTCTATCCCGAGGGTCCCTTGAAAACCGAGAGACAGTCACCTAAAGGTAGGTGAATTGAGCTAAATTGAGCTCTCACGAGAGAATCAATGGCAAATTCGTTAATTTCATTGCAATCATATCTCAGAACACCTTTTCTATCCTCCCACAGCCATGGCAGCTTTTGGCGTCATCGATTTCTATCCACCTGAGTCAAACTTAGCTTCCACGAGCTCCCTTCGGTTCACACACTCCACTCTTCTATTGATTTAAAAGCCATCGTTACTCGAAAAGAGTGTTTTTGTATACAATTCTTGACGTCACCGTCGCTACTGCGATGCTGCCACCGTTCCTAAGAAAAAAATGGTGGGTTCGAATTTATTTAAGACTCCATGGAGTTTGTGCAAGGTGACATGTGGATTTAGATGGATTCAATATCCATTTTTTTAGTATATTTGCAATTGTTGGTCCAGATTCAATATTCAATATTCGTTTCTTTTGTAGCGCTCCATGGCAAAAGCCAAGCAAGATCACGGGAGTCTTACGTGAAGCATTACGTACGGCTACAGATAGCCTATACGAATTACTTTTTTTGTTCTAGCTATACAAAGTGTGCTTGAATCAACATTATACTTTAATAACAAAAATTAAAACTCTTACTTTGTGCATTCGTATAAAACAAGTGCTTGCAACTCAGCAAATTAGGTATAAGGATCGAGTCGGGCCACTTGCGGGCTTCATTCATGCAACACATACTCGGCCATCTATATTCACGGAATTACGGGTTGTCGCAACATATGGGCTGGGTCGGTCTAAATACAAAAACATAAGCCCGAGTCCTCACTTTTTAATAAGACGACGGGGTGGGTTGGGACACGGGCCCATGATCAGGTCAAGTAGTTACTAACAGGTGAGCTTCCTTGAATAGTAATGGCCAGTTTGACTAAGCATGAAATCTAATTTCTTTTTTCTACAAGCATGAAATCTAATTTCTAATTTTTTCTACACGTTCTTGCATTTGGAAACAAGCATGAAATCTAATTTCTTCTACAATACTTTCTTATCAGTTCTTACGACAACCAATGTAGCAATTGAGTATCATCTCCTGATTTCTCAAGCTTCACTTGGGCGTCTATTTCTACATATGATTTGCCATTCATCCTCAGCCATTTCTTTTTTCTACTCTTCAATTCCAACCATGTCAATCCTTCTTAAACCAAGAACATGTCTTGTTTCAATTATATCATCCATATATGAAACACAATTAAATATTCCGTACTTTACCGATCCTAAACATTACAATTCAGATCTTTTAATAGTAAATATATTTTGAAAGATGAATATGAAATGCTCCATAATAGAGGATAGAGAACCAAGAATGATACCATATAAATCGTCTCTGTAACAACATATGAAATGATTATTTTCCACGAGTATTATTAGGGTTTGCGTGCATGTCTTATGCAGACACGCATAGACAATGAAGATTATTGCATATTTTTAAGAAGGTGGAGCAAGCATGATGTCATACTTGGGTGCAAGAACAATAGACCCAATATCATGCCAGCCCTGTCGATGTTTGGGGATCGATATGTCCTTGGTAGAGAATACATGATTGTATTGATAAGTTGAATCAGGACTAATTAAAACAGAGCATTTAACAGAGTATGTATGTGTGTGTGTGTGTGTGTATATATATATATATATATATATATATATATATATACTCCTTCTCTCCACCATAGATCTTCCCAGAAACTATTCACAGGGTCAAACTTAACTCACTTTGTTTGCTTATTTTAACCACTCATTTCATAAAATAAAATAGTGTTGTCACCTTTAGTTTTGTAGAACTTTTCATGTACTTTTTTACTATATAAATTTTATTTTTAAATTTTATATTTACAATCAAATAAATTGAATTGAAAATAAAGTCGGTCAAACCTCGTAACGCGCAATGAGAAGATCATTGGTGGACGGAGGGAGTATATATATATATATATATATATATATATATATATATATATATATATATATATATATATATATAGTTGGCTATGCTAATTTTCACACCCAAATTCTGTTAGCTTATTTGGATATGGATATAAGACATTTGTGAGTATGTTCATGTATAACGACCGCATTTTTAAAGTACAACTAACTATAGGTTTCATATATTTGGAATATGTATACAAATACATACGTGTTTAATGTGTTTTCTTTTTCAAAAATGTGGCTAATAATGTGTGCACATATTTTTAAACTTGAAACATTGAGCTTAAAAACAATATGAGTCCAATAGCCACAAAAATATAAAATTAAAGCACCATAAAGAGAAGATGGTAAAATACAACCAACACTTATGGGATCCAAAAGAAATAGTTGATGGATAAAAGAAAACACCCAAAATCCAGATCAATTTAAGCAAATAAAGCTAATAAACAAGAACTGATATTGAAATTTGAAAAATACATATCAGTTAACATAAAGAAATTTAATACCAAATTGGAAGCATACCTGAGGGATTGCGGCGGTGCTGTACTGCTGAACAAAGCCGGAGCCGGACGGTCGGAGAAGACGACCTGCGATCTAAGGCGGAAAAATAGGAGAGGAGATTCGAGATTGATGTCCGCCCACTGCCGGAGTAGGACTGCTGCGACGGTGAGACCTGCGTCTGAAAGTCTGGTTTCGGAGAGGAGTCTCAATCTGAAGAAGAGATGATGGCGATAAAACCTTACATTTGGGGATTGGGAGCTCGGCTAGTCGTCTTTCTTTTTCATTTTCTTTTTTAGTGAAAACATTTGGATGTTACTCTACTCGAGTTTATTGCACAATACTTTTAAGTTGGGTAAATGTCCACTATTACATTTCATGATTTTAATTCTTATATTGTTATTCCGTGATTTTAATATTTTTACGCCGATATTCTTCTAGACTAAAATTCCCTTCAAATATTAAATAAATAGTGTCGTTGTTCCTTATAATTATAGAAAATGGGCATCAACACTCCCTCTCGTTTTTTCTTTGTTATTTTTCTTTTTTCTTCTATTTTTTCATCAATATTTTTGAAGATCTTTTTCAAAACTATTTCATAAATGTTTTAAAGTTCATTTTAACACTATTTTTATACTATGTAATGATTTAATAATAATTTTTTTAATTGAAATAAAAAATTAATTAAAATAAAAATAATTAACATACACTCCATTTGTCACAAATAAAATAATTTTATTTTGTCTAAAAGAGATTTTTATTGTTTCATTTTCATTATACAAAAATCAAAGAAAAATTATCACTTTTTCTATTGAAGCTTATTTCACATTTTCTAGTTTTTAATTATTTTTCTCTTCATGAATTTTAAAAATAAATTTTATAAAGTTTCTTTTATTTAAATTAAAATAAAAGAAAAAATAATAGAAAAGAAATTGAAAAAGAAAGAAAGTATACCAAAAAACACTTCTGTAGAATAGGAAATTTAAATAATGAAGAAAATTTCTTACGCATCAATTCAAAAATTATATTATGAATATATAATTAAATAAATATTAAAAAGACTTTACTTTGTATTCTTTTGGTCCCAATAGATTTTAAAAAAATAAGAATTTTTTACAAAAAAAATTTAAATGTGAGACAAATGAAGTATATTTTAAATTTTTAATTTCAAACACCAAAACTTTTTATTTTTTAAACATTTAAAAATAGAGTTTTGAAAAACAATATGATCATTATTTCAAACATAATCATTTTTCTTCTCTTTCATTTTTTTTCACTTCCAACAAAACACTTCATCTTTCTATTAAAAAACAACTTTTACCCTTACTTTTTCATATTCTACATATCATATCATACTTTTTCTTTAATAATCTATTCATCACATCTTACTTTTACCCATCACATCAGGGGCAAAATTGAAAGTCAACTATAATTTAACAGTTCTTTATTTTGGCTCCAAGTCAAAGTAGGAACCTTTTTTTGCAAATGGAGGTAGTATTACAATAGGATTGTGAATGGGACAAACTTACTATCACCAATGATGAAAAAAACTCAAGAGCCAAAACTTGTTTTTTAGACAAAAAATTATATGGTAGGACATGAGTTAGAAAAAGTTTTCAACTTAAATTTGTGTTCCCTTTTCCTACTCCTGTCTTTACAAATCTCATTTTATATAAAAGCTACTAGTATATATTTTGACACCAATTTTGAATGTCACACTATGAGCCTTTGGTCTCACAATACCTCGTTGGGATTCAAAGTGAGTCTTTTCCCCTTTACTCCACAAAATCCTCGGACGGCCCTTGTGTCATTGTACCAAATTCTAAGGGCAGGAAGGGTCAAGGGTATGACACACTTTCTCACCAACAAAATATTCCTTCCGTCCGGAAATGTTCTTCTCATTTGACTTTTTACAGTCTCCAAGATTACACTTTGACTGCTAATATCTTTATTTATACATGGATATATTTTATAAAAATTTGATATTTGAAAACTATATTTCAAACTAAATATATTCATATTAAAATTATATCCTAATACAATGTATTTTTTCACATATCATAATCAAAGTTTACAAACTTTGACCAAGAAAAGTCAAATGAGAATAATATTTTGATAGAGTATTGTACAAACCTCTAAATAAGCGTGGACCAAAATGAGTGCCAAAAAACCTAGTTGTTTCATAAAACAAAAGACGACAACAACAAGACAACAAAGAATGAAAGAGCGAACGAGTGCTTGGCTCCTCGAGGAGCGTCCCCGTAGCCGATATAGTTGGCGATCTGAATGCCGTTGTCGACCTTGTCGGCGGCGAGAATCTCGATCGGGAAACGGCAAGTGCCGACGGAGGGATCGAACGGCGTGAGGACGCCCAGGCCGGAGAAGTCGCATGCGCCGTTTTCGATCTCCTGGTTGTTGGTCTGGTAGAACATGTTGAAGGCGTAGGAGACGTTCCAGGTGTGGTTGAGGTTGCCGCAGGTGGAGTAGTGGTTGAGGGAGGTGCAGTCGGAGGCGCTGCATGCTAGCTCCACTTGCTCCGCCACTTTCGTGGCGTTGCTGGTGTCGCCGTTGAATACGCACCACCGCGAAGGCATTTTCACCGTCCCTAATTTAATTAAGAATACAGGCCAAGTACTCATCATTAATTAAATAAATTTTGAATTGTAAATCAATAAAATAAAATAATTTTAAAAAACTTTTATTTGATAAATCTAATTATATTATTTTTGGTAATTTTATATCTAAACTTGAATTTTTGATAATAATCTGTATAATTTTTAGTTAATCGATGATTAAAGTTTAACAAGTTAGTACACTTGGATGAAATTGAATATTGACTTATATAAAATAATACTCCATATATCATATGTTTTACAATACTTTTTGATTTTATATTTTTAGATTATTTGGCGTCTCATTTTGATATAAAAATATTAAAAATCCTATTTTAATATACTCGGTATAAATTAATTATGTTTAAGTTCTTATTAGGCATTTCTCCCATTTTACAAACTTCATAGGTCAATAATGATAGAGTAATTTACCTAAATAGGACTAAAACATAATTACTTTCTCAATATATGGTCGTTTGTTTTTATTTCTCAATGTAGGACCATTGGTCATTATCTATTAGTCATTATTCAACTAAATTTGTACTGCATGTTAGATATTAGTATAACATGCCATGCAAATTTAATGTAATTGATTGAAAAAAACGTGAAATAAATATATATGCATACCTTTGGCGGTAGAAGGGTAGATGTCCCGTCCTTGACCAGTGAAGTCAATCTTATACTTTGGCGCCCCGTCAAAATTGTATATACCCTTGTGCCGATAATACGCTCCCATCAATGGCGGGTATTTGTTCTCGTCCGTCAACGTTCCGATGAACACGTCGATGTTCCGGTTCGGCCGCCGTGGCGTCCCCTTCTTCTGCTTGACGTGTCTGAGGAACCCACGGTGGAAGCGCTCCGCGTTCTCCACCGTGGCGTGCTTCATGCCGTCAGTGGGCCACCCGACCTCCCCTATAACGATCTCCACGTCTGAGAACCCCACTTTCTCCATCGCCACGACTAGCGCGTCGTACATGAACTCGAACGCATTCCTGTACGTGTACGACCCGTCGACGATGGCGAAGGAGGAGTTGTTGTCCATGAACGCGAATTCCACGGGCCAACTGTTGACCTCCGCGGCAATGAGGGGGTAGAGGTTGTAGAGGTAGAAGGAGTTGTTGGTCTGATGGAGCAGCGTCAAGAACTCCTTCATTTTGGGCTTCACGTCGTCGATGAAGTCTGCCTCCGACGGCTTTCCGACGACTTTCAGGATGTCGATGGTGTGGGACGAGGTCGTCCTCAAGTGGGACAACCCGTTGTTCTTTAGACAATTCAATGTCTCTCTGAAGATATCGGTTGCGTTCCATATGGGTTGACGCTTCCCCGTCGTCGAATATGCATCTTCTAGGACCACCAATGTCCTGCAACAAACAATTTATGCCCTTATACGGAGTGAAACGGTTTGCAAGTTATGAGATTTGTCTCATCCCAATCGATTGTATGGGTAACAAATGAGAGTGTTAGAAAATGGTTTATAGTCTATAGATCACACAAATATTTTGTATTATAGATTACATCTTCATTTACAACCCTATTTACATTGGTTATATGACAACATATGAGGGGCTTTATATATACCAAATGAGATATCTCACCTAATAGACTAATCTTTTGGGAGGAGTTTTCTTGTTTGCTCTCTAACATGACCTCATCACACTAACCCTTTCTTATTTATTTTTAAGTTATCAAGAAAATTAAAATGATCATCCAAGTAATACATACGTAATGTTTACGCCTCTCCTAATAGGGACGGCAAGAAGTTCAGCAACCCAATCGTTGATGGTCTTAATATTGTTCCATTTCATACGTTTGATGAAATCGTTCTGGAGGGCGACGGTGACGCCTAAAGAAGAACCTTGGAGGGCCTCCATGACATTGACGGAAGGTGCAGATAGTCGTATGTCGGTCAACCCATTTTGGAGAAGCAAATCCACCACCATTGATGGCACCAAACTTTGCGTTGAAAATCTCCCCCAATATATCCCCACGAACCCCTCCGCTCTCCTGATACCTCCTCCTTCGGCCACCATTACCAACAATAGTAATATTATTCCCACCTTGCCGTTGTTCATTTCTCCCCCGCCTTGCAATTAATCAATCTTTAACGTTACGTGCCTCAATTTGGTTTCAGCCTTAAGGCACGTACGTTATAGATGGATTAATGGCAATCAAACGAAAGAAAACTTACTATTTGACATGTGAGATTATATGTTTATCAAGATTGACTCAGGCTTTTTGCATGCATGCACTGAGGCATACATGCAAAGTTCTAGGCAAGGAGCCAAATTAAAAAAGTTTTGTGTGAAATGAAAACAAACAATCAAGAGATGAAAGTATGGTTTAATTTGTTTGTTATGGAGGGTAAAAAGTTCCCTCCTAAGCCTCCAATATTTGGTTAACGAGAGTATAAGATGGGAATTTGGTGGATGGAAATGATCCAACAATTTATGCATGTCGGTGTGTGTGTACGGTGGATGTAGGACATTATTTCTCGAGGCACCGGTATAATTAGCATATTTTTATTTAAAAAAATATTACTCCGTATCTCCTTACCTCCTTCTCAAATTAAGAAAAATAGAATTGTATAATTAGAAATGATGCAAAAGAAAGAGAAACAATAGTAGCCACAAAACCTTCTAATTTAAATTAATGTGTGGAATTATGATTCCTTAACAATTCAAAAATGAAATGAGAACTATTATATATGTTGGGGGCCTTGGGGCAAAGGTAGTTCGTACGAGATACAAGATACGGAGTACTTAATTTGGGATATATATATATATATATATATATATATATATATATATATATATATAGAGAGAGAGAGAGAGAGAGAGAGAGAACACATCTTACACTATTAGACCACGTTATGCAACAATTTCAACGTTTAGCTTTAACATTTTGAAAATGTTATCTAACACTAGTGTTAGTTTTAGCATATTAAAAAATAATCTGCATCATTAAAAATATGTCCAAAATAATACTCCGTAATGATGTTGAATAAAAAGGTTATCAAAAACATGGACTTAATTAGCTACACATTTTGGAATCTAAGCCTACGGCAACAACGTCATTACCCTTTCCGACTAAAATTTAAAAAACTAAATTGTGTTGAAGTGAAAAATAAACTTAGTGTTTTAATGAATTGACTTAAAACTACCACTGAAAAAAAAAGTTTGAAAAAAACACCCACATTGCTAGTATTTACACTAGATTGTAAATAAGTTCAAGTAAATTAGGACAGATTTACATTCACACTTACTAATATTGTTGTCCAAGTTTCTAAAAAGTAGCAGTCTAAAACAACCCCGACCGAAAACAGCATAAATATCTAGAGTGTTACAATACAAATTTCAGCGATAAACCAGAAGTAAAACTACAGTCTACACTCACAGACAGGCCTGAAGCAAATGCTGAAGATGGGTGCTCTATGATTCGTTGGATGATGAAACCATCCCCTGAAAATCAGATTACAGAGGTGCTCTGTTAGAAAAGGCACGCCCGAAAAAGGGTTTTTTTTTAACCAAATGAAGTTAAAATATTTCCCTTGAGTTGAACAAAAAAAAAGAAAGAAAGGTTACTGTTAGGTTGCTGGCCGAGTTTTCAGGTGTGCAAATAATTAGCTGCCATCATCAATTCCAAAGTGAGTTCGGGCTCTATAGGAAACTCGGTCTCTTTCCCCCTGTGATTAATGAAAGAGTTTCAGTCAATATATCAATATAGGCGCCCTGGTACTCAGCTTCAAGCATTGGAACATATATGGGAGCAAATAGAACAACTATGCCAATGGGACAGAGCCGGTTTATTTTGGCATGCACTTAAAATAACAATAGGGAAACCATTGATGTGAAACAACTAAAAAAATATATTAAAGAATATTAATACTCCATAGTATTTATAAAGATGACAGAACAAAAGGAAAGAACTCATGAAAAATGAACACATTATTGATTTTGTTGTCTATGAAGACAACAACAAAAACAAAAACAGAATAGAAACATAACCATGCAATGACAAGTTAGAGATATAGATCTCAATGAAATGCATAGCCAAATCTATCCTCCTTACTTTAAATGTATAATTTATCACATGAACCAATCTCCTCAGTATAGAGAAGTCTCCCCATAAAGAATTAAACTAATTACGAAAACCATCACTGCAAGATATCTGAGTCAGCATGTGAGAATCTCTTGGGCTAGTGCAGAAAGCTCCATAACCATGTCGTTTTTTTCCCAGAAAAATTTTAACACATCTTCGTATTTAAACAAGCTGGTGTTAGGCCTTGAACTGATGACCTTAAGAGTCTGGCAAATGTTTCAATTCAAAGATATAAGAGATACTCGATCCATTTTAAAATAAAGCTACGGGTTTGACTTGACATACATCCTATGAAAAATAAAATTGTATACTTGAGATTTAATTCGATGAGGAAAATATAAGAACCACATATTCTTTTTTTAAACAAAACTTAATGACAGAAAAAGGAACACTGAACTGAAGTGTTCTTTTGGGACTGAGGGAGTAAGTGAACACAGACAATAAAGTTAAGGAGGGACTTATGATGTACTATTCAGTTCTTTCAATTCATTGTATTTGAAAATTAGTATGAAAATAAAAAGTAAAACTTACATACTAAAAAACTACATCAAAAGTTCTACAAAACAAGGAGTGGCACGACTATGTTATTTTATCAAATGATCAATAAAAACACATAAATAACAAAAGTTATCATGATCCTACTATAATACTCCGCAGTAACCGAGAATTTTATCAATAGTAACCGAAGATTTTATTTGGGGACAAAGTGAGTTTAAGTAATTGGCAAACGAAAATCTGCAGGCTAAAAATCAGTTGTGCCAATGTAGCAATGCAATCGCAAATGCCACCTCAAGATTAGAGGAAGAACAAAAGATCTTTGATTGAATGAAAATCTTGAAATATAAAAAAGACCTTGCATATTGAAGGTGCCAATAGAAGTACTGGCAGATCTTCTCGAGAATAGTGGTACTAATCTCAGGAAAAGTCACTTCTCTGTGCTCTGTCTCCGCGAAACCCCCTGCAAAAAAACACACAAATCAATCAAGTTTGGACTTTGGACCAATTAATTGCAACAAATTCAGAAATAAATCTGTCGGATCAGTTGAGCAATCGGATATAAGTGAATACTGTAATATCGTGAGTTGAACTATCTAATCCAAAATTGTTTATCATGATTTGGCTCCATCATCTTAGAAGACCACGAATCCAAAAAAAAACTATTGAAATCGATGAGAATGAAATCCCACAGTATACGACAGAGACGAATTCAATCGGAGGGGATGAAGAATCCAACCAGGAGAAGTGAGCATGTTGCGGATGGTCTGAGAAACCATAGCCGCCTCCTTATCGATCACGAATTCGAAACCCTCGGCGCTGATTAGCTTCACTGTATCTTCCTTCTTCATCTCCGATCGCCGCTTTCCTATAATTGCAGCGTGAGAGACTCGGGGATCAGAAATTCAGAAAAGAAACAAAAAGCACAGAGTATGATGATCAGAGCTCGGGTCAGTTAGGTCTTTTTGATATACCAGTTAGAGAAATTAAAAAATAAAAAATTATTTATAATTTTTAAAATATTTGAAAATTAAAAATACATATCAAGTACGGAGTATAATAAAATTTTAAATTAAAATAATAAAATTACTCGGTTCAAACTTCAAAGCATGCTCTCCCCTTATTTTTTAAAATACTTTCTCTTTACTATTATCGTCCTCTTGATAAAAAATTTTATGGTGCAGATTAATTCTTAAAACGCTAACGCTAAAAGCTATCGTTAAATAGCTTTTTTGAAACGCTAATGATAATCTCGAACGCTGATGCCAAACAGGGCCTATATGTTACAGAGTACGGAGTATTTTTTATTATTTGATAAAATAAAATATTTTTGTCATTACTTACTAAGAAGAGTTTTTTATATATTTTTTAAATATGTAATCTTGTATTTTATTTTTGTACCAATTTGCAAAGAAAATCATTTAAAAAAATCTTTTTTACATGTAAAGATGAAAGATGGAGTGCTTTAAAACGAGGAGAGTATAATAAATTGCAAATTCAAAAGAATATATTGTTTTTAAATTAACTATGTATTTTAAACAAAAACATTAATAAAATATTTTAGTTCTTTAAAAAATATAAAGATTAAATAACATTTTTAAAGTAATAAAATAAATTTTTGGTTTCAAAATTCTTTATAATTAAAATATAAATAATTGCATTTTTATGAAAACTAGGATAGTAATTATTTAACATAAAAATTTGAAAGATTTTATTGAAATATAATTAAGTAAAAGTTATTCAATGTAAAGTTCAATAATATAGAATTTGTGAGTTCTTAACATAAAATATGAGATATCCCGGAATAAATATGTTGGTCTTTGATTGGTCAAAGTAATTGAGTTCTCGATCCTTATAACCAAATACTCCGTATGTGGAATGTGCTTCGGAGTACAATAACACGAATTTTAAGTATTCATGAAGTATGTTTATTTTAGATAATATAATACTTAGGTCATATTCTCTTCACCTGATTTGAATGCTCTTGATCAGATTGGAATAAACTCGGAGTTTATATATGAGTAATAAACTATGAAAACATCAAAATAAAACCATTAAATTTTTTAAGATCAAAACATGAGTTTACACTGATATTGCTATACTGCTACACTCATCACATTGTCGCGTTGGAACTACCACACTATCACTAATACACTTACATTAATCGCATATGTTGCCGTTGGTCACTAGAGTGCCGCCGGTAGTTGATTGATCATACAATCACATTATAATGTCTATTAATTTTTCCATCACACTAACAAATGCGTACACTTACATTACAATATCAAATACTCTAATTTTGATTTTTAAAAGGTAAAATTTATATTTTGATATTTTCTTATTTTTTTTAGATTGGGGATTGAGTGAGATTTCTAAAAAAAGGACCATGCTACACTTACACCAAAAATTGTACCCCATTTGTACATCGCAGTTATACACAAACATTTTGATGATTTATACCGACACAAGTGTTGGTGCGTTAATAAAAATTTAAACAGACACAAAGTATTAGTGCGTTAATAAAAATTAGTTTTAAACCAACACAAAATGTCAGTACAAACCCGTGGGGTACAAATTGGATACAAAAATTTGGGATACAAATATCTTTATCCAAAAAAACTGCTCTACTGTGTTAGTTGTGTGGGTGTGGCCTCTCTCATCCTCCACCTACAGAATTATCCAAATCTCCGCTGACTTATGAACAAGCGGGACTGACCTCTCACGACAGAATCAATGGCGAATTCGTTCATCTCATCGCAGTCGTATCTCGGAACACCTTTTCCGTCCTCCCTCAAGCATGGCAGCTTTCCGCGCCGTCGACTTCTATCCACCCGAGTCAAACTCAGCTTCCACGAGCTCCCTCCGGTTCACTCACTCCACTCTTCTACCGATTTCGGAGCCATTTTTACTCGAGCAGAGAGTTTTCTGTATACAATTGCCGATGCCGCCGTCGCTACTGACGCTGTCACAGGTGGCGCTGCTTCAGACGCCGCCGTTCCTGAGAAAAACAATGGTTGGTTCGGATTTATTTCAGACTCCATGGAGTTTGTGCTGAAGGTAACTTATAGATTTAGCTGGATTCAATTTTCGTTTTCATTTTGTATATTTGCCATTGTTTGTATAGCTTATGACTATTTGGTTATGCCGTTGAGGAATAATCTGTCTTCTTCTGGTTTTGTCATTATGAAACTGATCGAAGGCCATAGGAATGCTCTATGCTATATTGTCTATTCCATTTTGAACTTAATATCTGTACATCACCATTTGAGTTTGACTTATTGAGCATGCCACTGTACTTGCCATTTCACAGGCTCATGGCAATGCCATTTGCAGTTTAACAGATTGGTAATAAGGGAAATTTGAAAAGGATCATAATCTAAGATCGAAGGAAGTGGACTGACCTGAAATTTCAGTAATTAAATCTCACTTGTGATTTGTGAACAAAAAGAATAAAAAAATAATAATATTTGGCATTTAGATGAGACGTTTACACTAATCTTATTGTCTTTATGTAAAAGAATGATATAGTAATATAGTCAGCCGCCTATTTTACGCATCGAGTTTCTTTGTGTTAAGAGATACAGAGTATACAACCATCTCAAGATGTATACTCACTGTTGGCTCTCATGTGTACCTATGTACAAAAGCAGATATCACTGAACATGAGATGATATGATGATACACCCTCCCTACTCTTATCAGGTACTAAAGAGTGGGCTTGATGCTGTGCATGTTCCATATTCTTATGGATTTGCCATTATATTGCTTACGGTTATTGTAAAAGCTGCTACACTTCCGCTGACAAAGCAACAGGTGTGCTTTTGTTGTTGCTGATATTTATTTCATATGCTCCCTCCGCCTGCAAATGAACGTGACAGTTTAGCATCACGGAAATTAAGAAAAGTGTTGAAAAGCTGGTGAAAGTGAAAAGTGTGTGGTTGAATTTTATTTGGAAGAGAGAGAATCAATGATGTCCACACATTTGTTTCCTTAAAGAGAATGGAGAAGTGTGTAGTTGATTTTTAGACATCCAAAAAGGAAAGTGAAAAGTTCTTTCAAGGACGGAAGGAGTATATGTGAATTGTTAGGAGCCTGTAATCACTATCAATGAAAACTAAAAGTGTGTAGTAACTATTGAATAATTAATTCAATTGTCTTTTCCATCTTCCAAAGGTTGAATCAACAATGGCGATGCAAAGCCTCCAACCAAAAATCAAAGCAATTCAACAGAGATATGCTGGAAACCAGGTGAGCTATTTTTCTTATAGTCTCCTGGTCCAATTTTGCAGAAGGGCTTTGGTCTTTTGGTATTATTTCTCGTAGTTTTATTTTTTTGGGAGATGCATGGAATCATTAAAATTCTTGCAGGATGTAGAGTTTCTGATCGTACTTGTTTTCACAAATTAAAATATACTCAGAGATTATTTATACAGACTAGAATAAATGTTTATGACCTAGCTTGTGAAAAATTGAAGACTGAATTCTGAAACTGTGGCGACTGGTGAGTGCCACACTTTTTGTTTAAATATGGGAAAATAACATATTTATTAGTTTCTCTTTAGGAAAGAATACAGCTTGAGACTTCACGCTTGTATCGTCAGGCAGGTTTCAATCCTCTGGCAGGTAAACCTAGATCTTGAAAATGCATTTTTTTCTTCCGAAGGAATCATGACACACACTAATCTGATATGAATCTATCCTATACTATTACATGTATGAACTTTAACATGAATATGGTTTACTTATCAAATTAACAGGATGCTTACCAACATTGGCTACAATACCCGTATGGATTGGATTGTATCAAGCTTTATCAAATGTGGCAAACGCGGTATTAAAAGAAGTTGATATAAAAAATTAGTGTTACTAGCTTCCCGAGAAAATTTCATTTACTAATCATTAATGTAATATTTTTAACCTGGAAAGGGACTGCTTACAGAAGGTTTCTTATGGATTCCCTCTTTGGGAGGCCCAACTACAATAGCTGCTCGACAGAGTGGAGCTGCGATATCTTGGCTCTTCCCATTTGTGGTAATAATACTCATAATGGTTCTGACTAACAAAATGATATGCTAATCAACGTGCAATACTCCCTTGGCCCACAACCCTCAATATTTAAGATCTCCAAAACTGTCATCTACCATAACTTTATTTATATTAATAACTTATCTACGGCATACTAGATACATCAATGTTGAACTCAACTTGAAACAGAAGAAATTATGCTTTCAACTTAAAAGAAGGTAAAATCAGAATTTTACCCATTTAGTTAAATCTGCAGGCTCTATAACAAGTGAAGTGCTAAGTAAGTAAATCCATACATTTGCAACAGGATGGGTATTTACATTTTAGAAACCACATTTTTTTGGTTTGTATTCATTTAACTATACAAGTTTTCACTCAATGTGCACATTCCCTGAGAAAAAATATTAATTATCTGAAGGGTGTGTACTACAAAGCCATATGTGATCTTTAAATTATTGTATTAATATGTTAACATCCATCAATCAGGATGGACATCCACCTCTAGGCTGGCAAGACACTGCAGCTTACCTTGTATTACCTATACTCTTGGTGGTCTCTCAGTATGTTTCAATGGAGGTAATGAAGCCTCCCCAGGTAAGAGTTGATTCCATCTTCAATCTCTTGTCTGCTTCCTTTTTGTGTGTGTGTGTGTGTGTGTTTTAGTCTGAAAATGTTGCCTGTTGTTGGTAGACAGATGATCCAACTCAAAAGAACACGCTTCTTATCTTCAAGTTTCTTCCACTTATGATTGGTTACTTTTCACTGTCTGTCCCATCTGGTTTAACAATTTATTGGTAATCTCTCAATCTCTGGTTTTATCTGCTACAAACATATTTTTTGCTACTTTTAATAGTTCATCCATTTTTTATGTGATGATGGATACACACATAGTTGGCTAACTGTCCAGGGGGGATACGTTTGTAAATGTGGAAACCTTACTGTTATTACTA